TTCCTGCCAGAGTCTGAAAGCGAACAGGCCTTTAAGAGACCAAGGGTTGAGGGACCTCTTAGAGGATGGCATACATCTGGGTTGCTGAAGTTTCTGGTGAGGCTCTGAGATTGAGCTAGGAAAATTATCAGGGAGTTTTGGACCTCTTGATTTCTAATCTTTTTTGATTGAGTTAGAGTTGCAGAAATATAAATTGCTAAATTAAAAAAATAACTTCTTTGTATAAATAATTCATACTAATTGTAGAAATTTGGAAAAAATAGCAAATGGCATAATGCTGAAAATTACCCTTAATTCCTCTATTCAATCACTATACAAATTTTGTTTTATTTGCATGTATTTTTGAATGCATAATTAGGATCATTGTGTATAAATTTTTATTTCTACTTTTTCCATTTAACATATGAATACTTTTTCTGTGTTGAAAAAGCAGCACAGAACAGGGACTTGTAGTAATTGTCTATTGCTGCTGTAATAAATTTCCACAAACTGAGTGGCTTAAAAACGACTACTCTCATAGTACTAGAGGCCAGAAGTCTGAGATCAAAGTGTAGGCAGGAATTGCTCTGTGTGGAGACTCACAGGGAGAATTCATTCCTTTCCTTGCCCCTTCAGCTTCTGATCCCATCTGTCTGCCTTTGTTGTCACATTGCTTGTATATGAGCATGCACATGTGCGTGTGTGCTCTGTGTGTGTGTTGTGTGTGTGTGTGTGAACTCCACTTCTCTTAGGACGCTTGAATTTAGGCCCCACCCAGATAATCAAGGATATCTCTTCATCTCAAAGTTTTAGTCACATCTGGAAAGATCCTTTTTCCATGTGCATTTCCAGGTTTCACGGTTAGGACAGTCATCTTTGGAGCCATCACTCAGTCTGCCACAGGGTTTAAAACAATGTGCTCTGGAGCCACACTGTATGGGTACTGATCTCAGTGGCATCTTTTACTAGCAGGATGACTTTGAGCAAGTGTCTTCGCTTTTGGTGTTTCCACTTTCCAGTCTGTAAAATGGAAATAGATGGTGTAAGAATTAAGAGGATTATATATATAAAACATCTAAAATGCTTAGGATGGTGACTGGCCTATGTAAGGATTGGCTGTTATTGTTGTAGTTGTTATTTTATTAACAATTCTTTGTAAAATGTCATTTTCATGACTGCATAAGATTTTTTATGATCTACCATAATTTATGTAATGATTTCCTTTTGTTGGCCAAGCTTTTTTTTTAACCCCAATTTTTAAAATTTCATATATAACACTGACATGGATATCTTTGAACATTAAGTTTTGTTCCACTTCAGATTAATTCCCTAGTGTAGAGTTCTGGAAATGGAATTACAACATCAAAGGGTGTGTACAATTTTAAGTCATTTAATAAGAATTTGCTAAATTGCTTTCCAGAAAGATTATACCTATTATACTCCTACCAGTAGTTGAAGGATGAGCGTGCCTGTTTTACCACGGCCATCCCTGTTACCATGTGTTATAGTTTTAAACAATCTCAGGGATTTAGTCTGCCGTTTAAGGCTGAAATGTAACAGCAAAGGGACTCTAAGCATCGTAATTCTTTTAGTAAGGAGTATTCTAGCAAGCCAGGAAAACCTCCAATGCAAAATTAAATCCTTGTCATGTCTCCAAGTGCCTTTTCCATTATGAATCCTGGAAACTTCCTGGGTATTTGTGAGGGTAGGAGGTGTGTTGGGGGATAGGATATGTTAGTAGCAGGGTTTCAATAACAGTTGCTTCTTTGCTCAGACCTCGGCATTTAAAACTCTGAGCATCTGATGGGATGAAGGAGACACACTTGAACAGAAAATGAATCAGTTTGATCACTTTGCATCCAAAGCCATGCAAGGGATGGGAGGATAGGGTGGGGAGGGGCAGCTCTCGCACTGTCTGCCAGATTAGCAGGAGAGCAGCCCTGGAGAGGGCTTGGGGGGCACCCTTGCCACCTGCTAGCCTGCTTGCTTTTCCTGGCTAGTGTCTACTGCATGCAGTCTGGTCCTGACTGACCCAGGCCTCTGGTCTGTAGAGAAAGATCAGGGTCCAGAGTGTGTCTACTCAAAGGGACCCACTCCATCACAGGCTGTTCAGACTATTTGGAAACAGAGTGGTGATTGTATTTTTCCCCGTGGCCAACTATACAGTGTATACCACAGGCAGTGGGTCACACACGAATTCAGCAATACCCAAATCCCTTGTAGTGGGCTAACTGGTGGCACTCCTGTCCTAATCCCTGGAACCTATAAATGTTACCTTAATTGGAACAAAGGGTTTTTGCAGAAGTGATGAAGTAAGGATCTTGAGATGACATGATCGTCTTGTATGATTTGGTAAGCTTAAATGCCATCACGTGTTCTCTTTTTTTTTTTTTTTTGAGTTGGAGTCTCACTCTGTCACCCAGACTGGAGTGCAGTGGCCACTCCCGGCCACTGCAGCCTTGATCTGCTGGGCTCTGGCGATCCTTCTGCCTCAGCCTTCCAAGTAGCTGGAACTACAGGTGCGCGCTACCACACCTGGCTAATTTTTTTGATTTATTGTAGAGATGAGGTCTCGCCAAGTTGCCCAGGTGGGTCTCGAACCCACGGGCTTAGGCAATCCACTCACCTCAGCTTCCCAAAGCGTGGGATTACAGGCTGATCCACCAAGCCCAGCTTCACGTGTTCTTGTAAGAAAGAAGCATAGGGAGATATGACACCCAGAGGAGAACGCAATGTGAAGATGGAGGTGGAGATTAGAATGATGTGGCCACAGGCCAAGAGCTGCCAACAGCCACCAGTTACAGAAAGGGGCAAGAAATAGGTTCTAGGGGAACGTGACATTGCCTTCCCTTTGTTTCGGACTCCTCACCTCGAGAACTGTGAGATAGTAAATTTCTGTTGTTTTAGCATCCAGTCTGTGAGAATTTGTTTTGGCAGCCTCGGGAAACTCGTCCGTAGTCTGTGCCCTGTTTAGGATAGTTCTACTGATCAAGGACTTGCTTGAGTAGCAATGTTTTATTGCCATAAAAGCCTCTAGGCACTTTAAGTTTCTGTACTTACTTAGTTGACCCAGCAGCGGAGTTGGCACTGGTTTGCAGACCTGTTGTCCTTGAGTACCACTGGCTTTGTCTCTCTTCCTTGTTTTATGGATAAGGAGACAGAAGCCCTGAGAGAAGAGGAGGGCTGGGACTAGAGCAGCTAGTGCCTCTGCTGTGGGGAGTGTGTAGACAGGGCCTGGTTCAGGTTGAGCAGGCGGGAGAGCTGCCCTCCGGCCTGATCTGTGGGCCAGCTGGCGTCCCTCAGCTGTTCTGTACCCTGCTCAGTGAAAGCTAATGCTCTGGTGAGCCTGTGGGGCCCAGAACCTGGGGGAAACCATAAAGCATTTGCCTTATAGCTAATGAGTCAACAGCAGCGGGCAAAGGTCTCTTCCAGGGGTAGGGGTCACAACTTGCTGTCAACTTAATTTCCAGCCGACTGCTTTGTCTTTGTGGTTTGGGTCATATTTTCCCTCTGGAGCCTGATTTTAACTTTCTATATTTTCTGAATGTTAATTATCTTTTAGAGAAAGGGACTGGACTACAATCATCTTGACGTTTATGCTAATTAACACTGAAGCCTAAACTCCTTAACTTGGCATTCATGGCCTCTTGAAGAACTGGCTCCTTTTTCCTTCCAGTTCTGCCTCCCTTCCCTCCCTTTTACGTACCTTAATCTCTGAAATTCACCAAGATCATTGCTCCCTAGGAGAAGGGGCCAGAAGAGGTTAGGCTCTTGAATACCCACAGTAGGTGAGTTCATAATTGACCAACTTAAGAACTAAAGGGAAAATGTGGCAAGGATAGAGGTTGAGTGCAAGTCTTTGAAACTCTCAGAAAAAAAAGGTTTATATTCCATAAAAGAGATGATAAAGGCAGCAGAAGCTTCCAGTACCATTCACTAACATGTGAGCAAAGTCATCTGAGACCATCTAGCTCAGTAGAACCACCAGATTTCTCTAGCCACATATATAAACCAGGCAAGACTAGAAGAAAAATCACCCAGCTGAGCTCAGCATTAATCACCGACCCACCAAACCATGAGAAATGTTTATTCTTTAACACACACACAAAAGAAAAAGAGCAGCATAGTAAACCAAGATTTATCTTTCAGTTATTGCACTTATTTATTTGGGTAATGATAGGCATAGTACCATTACTCAAGTATTTCTTGCTATAAAGGCAAGAGACTTTTCTGAGTCTCTCACCTTTGTATTTGCAATGAAATTCTTATTTGTTTGCTTTGTTGTGGTTAATGCCCAAATTAAGAGCCCCTTGTCCCCCATTATTTGGGCTGCCATCTTAATATTTAGTACTACTAGAATTTTAGGAATAAATTTGTTGGCTACTTTCTGGCTCTCACACATCTCTAACTTCTTTTCATCTCTGGTACTATTAACAGTGTTCAGAGGCCCAAGTCACTTTCTTTCATCTTTATATTTCACAAGGCTTTAGTTCAGAAGCCTCTTTTCCTTTAACTTCCACTTTTGTTTCTTTTTGTAGTCCCAAACTTGGATCCCTCATTTTAAAATCAGTGATTTTTGATTGCAGGGAACAGAAATACTGTCATGCCAGCTTAAGTTAGAAGAGCGTTTGTTGTAGGAACCTCAGGAATACAGGGAGCAAAGCTTAGCCACCTGCTAGGGAATGGGAACAGGAAGGCCCCATGATCCTGTGGGATGCTGCATGATCCTCTGTGCATACTGTGTGTGTGTGTGTGTGTGTGTGTGTGTTTCTAACAGTGACAAGTATCCATCCCTGAGACAGTCAGTAGGGGGAGGGGAGCCTGGATGAGGACGTACCAAAAATGGGACCTGTGGAGGGGTAGCCCTCCTAAGCACTTATACCTTTTCCTCTAATTTATTTTATTTTATTTTATTTTTTATTTTAATCAATATTTTTTATTATGATGTTGTGGGCACAGTTAAGGGTTAGGTATACAAAATCTTCGTTCAGGCACCCTGTTGATATCCTCTAATTTCTTAACAGGAATAACTCAAGTCATCTGTACTGGAAATCAATTTGCTGAAATTACTGAAAAAGCAGTTCTTGAAGTTGAAGAAAAGGTAAGCATTTTCGTATAAGGGAAATCCATTTAGGGAGAGGTTACTGTCCTGTTATTCCCCTTGTATGCCCAGTGAGTATATAATATTTTACCCCTCCTCCTGCCTGGCCACATTCCTGTTCATCCCTCAAGATCTTTATCAAATGCTGCCTTTCTCCTTTCAGATTTCTCCTGGCTGGTAGTGGTTTCCCCTGGTGTGGAACCCCTACAATGTGTTCTCCCTTCTTACTTATCATGTTTGTATTGTCGTTGTACCTTCCTCTGACAGCCTGCTACAGTGGAGGTCTGTGGTGCCCTGTTCTAGTACTTTAGGTTTCATGATGGTTGCTTGTTTTGGTTTTCCCCAGTTGTGCCCAGGACACCGTAGGTGCTCCATAACCGTCTGCTGAGTGGACAGTCAGCTCCTGTGTGGATCTGCTTTTTACCTCCACCACTCCTCCCTGATAGACTTGTACTAGGAATTATTCTTAAATAGATTCTGTTCTTTGAGCATTCACTTGAAATTTCTAATCTTTTCCAGTTGTCCTTTGTCTTTTGGCTATTGGTGAAATTAAGCTAAAGGCAAAGCTTTTGTATCTGGTTCTTTTTCATGGGCAATTTGGGCCATGTTAAGAGCAATAATTAGGAAATGGGGTTGGGGGGGTGACAGGCAGAGAAGCTGATATGGCCACGGGAGCATCAATCCCCCCAGCCTGCGTCTACCCTCTGTGGCTGGCGTTGCACATGTGGGACTTTGGTCTTTCTGTGACCCACCCTGTCTGCTGCTTGGCAGACTACCTCCTCCACTTCTGCAATCCTCCAGGCTGCCTCAGTTAGTGGACAGTTGCATTTTAACCCATCCCTCTGTCCCAACCTTTTTGCTTTAAATGAGTGAGTCAGCAGGTTCCCTTTCTCGAACTATTAGCTGTTAAAGAACCCCAAGTTTTGTATTAATTTTATCAGTTGTGTTGATCACCAGTCTCTTGGAAAATATGTCCCCACCTTTTCTACCTGATGGTAACCATCAGCTGTCCCTCACATTTGTAGGGTGCCTTCCCTTTTGCAGGGTGCTTCTACACACATAGGCAGATTTTCTTCTCCTACCAGTTCTGGGAAACACGTGGGGCAAGTGGTAACTTCTCATCTTCCCAGTCAATAAACAAGCTCAGAGGTCCAATGAATGGGGTTGGTTTTTCCCTCCCCTGTACCTTCTTGGTCCTCTCTTTTGGAAGCCATGGTGAACTGCTGGTGTCACAAAACCCAGGGATTCTGTCTCTTATCCACCCTCATGTTCCTTTCAGGGAGGAGGGTCTTGACTTTCCATTGAGGAATTCAGTCTGACTCTGGGGTTCCCTCTCTTCCCCATGTCCCTACTCAGGCAGCTTTCTTGAAAAGGCAGGTATCTTTCCAGTCAGTCAGTCTTGGACATTTTATTTTTGTTAGGGCTTAGTTAAATCTAATTAGTTTACGTTAGTGCTGCATTGTCTTTCACTAATGGGGGTTTGATCAGCCAATCTGGCTGTATCTGATGATGTTCTCCCCTCCCCTTGAATAATTGCAAATGGTTCCATCCATCAAGGCACAGAGCACAGTACTTTATTACCCTGTGGAATTGTTTAGTTAACTGTGATTTTTAAACAATAGCTCAACTTTTAATTAGAAAACAGATTGTCAAGTGACATTTTGATTTGTCCTTTGATGGGGAAATTGGAAAATAGACCCAGCAGAATAAGAAACCAAGTTCTAGTTTAGCAGGAGGCATATTAACTTAAGAGCAGGATGTGACTTCAGTGAATCATTGTTTTCCTAAAATAGGCTATTCTCTGTGATCTTTTTGTTGAGAGACCTTCTTTTGTGTCTGATACTACCTTAGATAAACATTTTCCTATGGTATACTCTAACCTGGAATCCAAACAGAATGTTCCTTCCCATGGTGTGTCAGAATCCAAGATCAGATACCAACACCCTTTTACTGGGAATCCTTGAAAACATCAATATCAAGAGATCAGCAAACCTATTATGATTTTGTAATAGAAGGAAACATCAGGCTATACACTTGCCTTCTGGTTGTAGCATGATGCAAATGCCATTTTACTGTTGAGGTTATTGTTTTCTTGACCCTAAAGCTAGATTTGTATTAGTGAGGACTCTCATAGAAGCAGTCTGCATTTGTCCTGACTGAGTTTGGTCCTGTGAGCTCCTTGTGTGGTTGTGCCCACCCCGAATGTCTACTCTGAGCACAATGAGAGGAGGATAACAGGGGTCACCAGTGAGGCCGGCTTCAGGAGTCTTCTTTTTTTTTTTTCAGATGGCAAAAATATACTTAAGGTGCGTACTTATTAACTCACTTTTTCAAGAAACTGGCTTCAAATCCTCAATTCCTAACAATGCATCTAAAGTAGACCTTGTGTTCATCCTCTGCCCCTCCCATGTCACCCTCTAAGTCTAAGCCAGTGCCACCCTTTGCCAATGGAGCTGCCAAGGCCTTTACCTGGCTGCCCTGCTTTCCCTCCTCCTCTGTGCTTGTCACTTTGGACCCAGGGTGATCTTTAGAACTTCTTGTCATATCATTTCACTTCCTTGCTTGAAAGCTGTCAGTGACCGTGTCTTGCTTTTGGAGGAAGCTCATGAGCCCAGACTGGCTCATGGAGCGTATGGTACTGTCTGGGTCCAAGCCTGCCTGGAGACGCACAGTACTGTTGGCACGTGAGATACTTTCCCCTTCACTCTTGACTTCCTCAGGCGATTGCAATGATTTAGGTTTTCTAGATACATTAAAGCAACTGTCAGACTCTCAAAGGTGTTCTTGGAATGGATGTTGTGTTCTGGGAAATGAAACAAGGAGTGATTTGTTCCTTCAAACACCAGAATATCCACTCGTAGAGTGCAGAGGTGGACCATGATTTCATTTGAAAACTCAATATGTTAATACCCAGCAAGTAATCAGCTAAAATTGCAATACCCCTGTGACTCCCCAGACAACCCTCCCCCCAAATATTTTGACATGGAAATGTGCAGTGGCATTTTAGCTCAGGAAATCATGAATGAAATTTGGTTCTAGGCTGGCACAAGAAAAGACCAACATTCTGCAGGGAGAAAAGAAACAAAGCTAAATGTCATTGCACAGCTTTCCTTTTTAAAACACATTTCTTCTAGCCAGAAGCCTGTTTGTTTTCCTTATCCTAACCTTGAGCTTTACGTGTGTGTGTGCGTGTGTGTGTGTGTGTGTGTGTGTATAGCCACACATACAAGCACAAGCACACCCCTGAATTAATCTTAGTTATGACATTCCCTGTTGTCTCCAGACCTTCCATTTAAGGTAATTCATGGGAATACTGAAGTCCCAACCGGATTTTGGTGCACTGCGCCCTCAAGTTCAGACAACTTTTCTATGATCTTGAATTTGAGATGTTCTAAGGCATCATCAGGTCTGGTGGATCCCCGATGATTTATAGCGAAGATTACAATGGCAATACCAGACAAGGTAATGCTAGCACAGTGTGACAAGTACTGCGGCAGAGTTTATACCTGGTGGCACGAGACCTCACTCACCTTGGGGAGTGGTAGGGCGTGTGTCCCTCGAGGTGGGTCTTGAGAGGGCCCCAAAGTCCAAGTGTTTGTCACATCTTTGCCAAACAGGGAATGGCTGGGAGGAGAGAGGTGCATGGGACATTTCAGACAGCTGCACTGGTGAAGGTCTAGGAGGGCAGCAAGGGCCTGGCATGCCAGAGAAACATGGGAGTTCCTGTGGCCACTGCAGGGGGAGCCTTGGTGGGGCTGGGGGTTGAGTGCCCAAAGGTGGGCAGGAGCCAGCTCATGCAAGACCTTCCTTGGGGACTAAGCAAGGGTTTTGGATTTTATTCTAAAGGCAGTGGAAAGCCATGGTAGACGTTTATGCTAGGGAGTTACCACATCAGACTTTTCTTTTAGAACAGGGATTCCGTACTCCTAAGACTTTAAAAGAGCAATGTTCTGATTCAGATATGCAAGTCCTTTTATTAGTTCTTATGGGCATGGGGCCCCAAATTCCACAGACTTCCGAGTTTTAGGTATGACTGTAGGCTAGCTACCAGTAATTACAAAGGTGTTGTTAAGTTGGTGAGATGTGACTGGTGTTAAGCTGGAGTTTCTGGATGACTTCTTTTGTATTACCTTGGGAAGCTGCAGCCTCACCACGCTCAGCAGTGGTGAACCAGGTGTGTGCTGAGTGCAGACATTCAGGCAGTTGGCACTCCTGTCAGTCTGGGAAATGACACTTTAACAGTACAGCATCAGTGATGTCTTGGATTTGTAACTATTTTCAGTTGCTAAGAACCTAGGTGTTTCATCATCAATTACTGTTATCTTGTCTTCTTAGGTGGTTAACGTGATCTGGTTGGTATGTACCCTGCACTGTGAAGTGATGCTCATTTTTGCCAGGAATGTGTTTGGCTTAATGTTTCTGATAACTAACCTTTAAAATAGGTGTGAGGTTTAGATGCTTCATCCATACCCTTTGCTGAAGTTGTGTCTATCTTCCACATTCACTTCACTGCTGTGACCACTGGTAAGGGGAAAATGTGTGGATAGATGGCAAGCATGCACCCTTTTCCCTGCCTCCATGACAGTGATTTTAGAAGGGTTTAGAAGTGTGTGCATTTCTTAGGCCTTGAGAAGACGGTAGGTGAAGGCAAAGCGATACAGCTTAGGAGGCTGTTGGAGAGCCATCATGAATGGAGATGAGGGCTATGGAGAAAGAGGCAGTATGTTTGAGGGATGTTTATGATTAGGGAGAACAGTCTGACAGAGGGAATGACAGAGAGGTGGGGCCAGGAAACTCCCAGACTTTTGAATTTGTGCAGCACTGGTGAGAGAGAAACAGACTTATATCATTCAGCAAGCACATATGCAGCAGACCAGGCAGGGAGGTATGGAGTAACAGGTGTGCAGCACATTCTCCCACTATGTGCAGACAACGCCTGGACATGATGGGTGGGATGTTGGGACAGGGTTGGGCTTTGCACAGGGAGGGCCTTGAAAGCC